AGGTTTAGGTAGACATCTGTTCCTAAAACTGTATGTCCACTATTGCACATTTTTAAATGACTCAGAAAGCAAATTGAAGTTTGTCATTTTTTTCTGGAAGATCTCTTCTTGTACAATCTAATCAAATATTGCTACATGGTATATACCCACTGCAGGAGTTCTGTGAATGTGTTAAGTATGCCTACACAAATAAGGCTTTGCTCTAAAGTATACAATGGGCACATATACACATGCATTAATGCACCAGACTTATGGCGCATTAAGTTTAGTACCTGTTATACCAGGTACTAAACTTAATGTGCCATAATCAGTGCTACTGCGCAGTAGCACTGGCATGCCTTTTATGTGACGCTAATGCATAGTAGACTAATTCTACTGAGCGTTACTGCATTAGTATGGCTTTTACTGTGACATGCTAATATGCAGTAGAATTAGTCTGCTGTGCTTTTAGCATCTTGTGTAGATGCCTCCATTGTTACATACATAAAGACTCAAGCCTTAAATAATGTCTTATAGAGAAAAGCTTATATATATATATATATATATATATATATATATGTTTTGTTATCGGCAAAAGGATAGATGTTCAAGTCCAGGGGGGGCTTTAAATACAAAGTATGTTTTTATCTTTTTTGGCTTTAAAATTATTCGTTTCTAGAGTACAACCAGGATTAAATTTATTCTTTTGAGGAAGAGAAAAAAGTAAAAGCAGAAGGAGCTGATGGTGCAGCCACACAATGTGATTTTCTGGCCACATTTAGCCTACAGTTGCCACACAACTTTCTGCAATAGATGCCTCTGCTATCAATGAGGCACACAGTAAAGAGAAAAACAGGCAGTTCATGTGATTTGTAAGTTGTCTGATATTCATTAAAAATAAGATGCAAGTGTGATATTTGATGAACTGAGTACTGTTGAAATTTCATTACATTATTGCATGGGGGCAGTAATGGGGCAGGCAGTGGAGGGGTGGTGGGGAACAGGCAGTGTGGAGGCAGTGGGGCAGGCAGTGACAGAGGC